AAAAAATGCAGCTATATCTGCCTTAAGCTATAAAGCTGTCTAAAAAGACAGCTTTATAGCTGCCAGACAGCAAGTTACTGCTGCCTCATTTTTTTTTAAAATTTTCTACTTTTTTTTTCCCATTAATTTAGCTCGGGCCGAGCCTTATTGTCATATGCCAAAAATGGCCCGTGTGGCTCGTCCGGCTCGACGAGCCACATGGGCTTGCTCGGGCTAGGGCCAACCTCTTATTTTGAGGCTCGGTTGCTACGAGCCACCGAGCCTTTTTGACACCCCTATTTGGAAATATAAATATTGCTTCATCCTCATCCATTCCAGAACTAGCAAATGGATCCTCAACATTCAAATGAAATAATATCAAGTCCGGGATTCAAAAAAAAAATACACATGAATATGGGAAATTGATTACTCAGCAGTAGCAATATTAAGTCATAACTTCTACTCTACCTAGGGTGTCAAAAAAGTTCGGTGGCTCAGGTGGCTAGTGGCTCGGCTCGGGAAAAGCCCGAGCCCGCCTGGCTCGTGGCTCGTAGCAACCGAGCCTCAAAATAAGAGGTTGGCCCGAGCCCGAGCCCGAGCCCGAGCCCGAGCAAGCCCGTGTGGCTCGGGTCGGCTCGTGTCACTGGCCATTTTTGGCCCGTGACAATAAGGCTCGGCCTGAGCTAAATTAAAGGGAAAAAAAAGAAAAGCAAAAAATTTAAAAAAAAATGAGGCAGCAAGTATAGCTTGGCAGCTATAAGGCAACAAGTCGAGCAGCTATAAAGCTGTATTTTTAGACAGCTTTATAGTTGCCGGCTGGGGCTGGGGGCAGCTTTAGCTGTATTTTTTACGAAGCGTTTTTAAAGTTCAAATTTGAAAAATAACGTGGATTTTTTGTCTATAAATATGGGGTGATTTTTTAAATTTTAAATCACTTTGTTATCAATTTTAATTCGCATTATTTCTATACTATAGATTCAGATTCAATTATTCAAGTTTCAATTTCTTCTTTTTCACTTCTCATATAACAATTAATATATTCAATTTCTTTCACTCTACAGTCTAATATTCAATATTTTTTATTATACTAGTTATTATGAATTTTACAAGTGATGAAGTTAATCAGTTTAGCGGTAGCTCGAGTACTCCATCTAACTACGATGCATGTCAAAATGTTCCAATTAATTTGGAGGATATTGAAGAGGAAGAAGTTCAAGTACTCGAGACAAAAAGATCAAAAAAAGAATCATCGAATTGTTGACAACATATGATAAGTAAAAAAATTGGTGTTCAAAATGGAGTAGATATTTGGAAAACATGTCGGAATTACTGTGGCAAATAACTTAGTTGGAAGCCCAGTTCGAGCACAACGCATTTGAATAGACACGTATTAAGGAGTTGCAAAACGAAACCAACCAATCTCGACTCGAAACAGATCGAACTAATGTTTGGCGGCTCTGATTCTATTCTTTTCACCTTTGTATATTCACAGGAAAGATTTCGTGAAGGAATGACTGCATACGTGGCTGCAGCAGAGATGCCGCTTACGATGATAAACTCAATACACTTTACCCGACTCATGCAGAAATATCTCCAACCCAGGCATTTTTCTTATTCTAGAAATACTCTTCATTCAGATAGCATAAAATTATATAACAGAAGAAAACAAGTTACTATTGAAGGTCTAAAAAGTTTTAATAGTGTTATATCGTTTACCTCTGATTTATGGACCGATTATAATAGAAAATATTATATTGCTGCTACGACTTATTATATTGATCACATGTGGCTTCTACATAAAAGAATTATTGCATTCAGATGTGTAGAATATCCCCATAATGCCACTAACATATACATGGTTTTAAAAGATATCATACAAGAATATGGTATACAAGATATGGTTGGAAGTTTTACTTTTGATAATGCTGCAGTGAACAAAGTTGTTATTGAAAGATTTATTGCTGATCTTAACTCGTATTTGGAAATTTATTTTTTCATCAACGTTGTGTATGTCATATTATTAATTTGATTGTAAAAGTTGGATTAAAACATATAAGTTCACCTTTAGATAAAATTAACAAGCAATAAATTTTATTACTGTGTCACCAGCAAAAAAACAAGCATTTAATAGTTTGTGTGCAGAGTATGGATTGCAGGAGAAATCATTTGCCACTGATGTAACACATAGGTGGAACTCTACATATCTTATGTTACATTCGTGTGAAAATTACGATAAAATGACTTTCCTATATTATAATGGTAGGAATACACTCGGACCCAAACATAATTTGGAAGATTGAAAATGGACTATTGTATTTTACGTGAAAAAATTCTTACAACCTTTTTTCGATGCTATAAAGGAATGTAGCGGTATTTATTACCCAACATCTTCTCTTGTTTTACAATATTTTTTCTACTTTTCACAAGCATTTCATAAATATAGAAATTTCCCACTTTTCCTGATATAGTCCGCTCTATAAAATTAAAATTTTGTAAATATTGGAAAGAATTGCCTTCTTTATTTCTTTTAGTTTCAGTAATGGACCCTCGACTTAATTTAACTGGCACAAAAGCCACTATAAAGGGGATATCAGATTTTTTGAATATAAAATTATCACATGTGCATATAGAATCTTTTTTATGTTAAATGTATAATTACTATGCTGAAAAGGTAGATCAAGGTAGTTCTACTTCCCAAGGTTCTTTTTCAAAAAATATTTCAACAAATTCCAAAATTTTATGAAATTATTTAGATAACAATACAAGTATTCCTTCATTTAGTTCTAGTTCATCAACATCTAGAGCGATTAATATTGGTGGTACAAATCTTGAAATTCCTTCTGAGCTAGCTAGGTATATGTGCATGGATGTTCGTACTGTGTTGCAACCAAACGAATTACAAGAATTTAGTCTTTGAATTTGGATATGGATTTTATCATTATATGAAACATTTGAATTGTGGTATTTTACTATTTTGCTTTAATATTGTGGTTATTTGCTTTAGTTAAACCATTTTTCTCTTTGTTATTTTGGTATTTTTCTATCATTTAAAAAAATATATTTTTTGTAAAACATATCCCCGTACACGTATCCAAAATTCAGAACATTTTTAACCGTAACCCCATATCTTAATTTCAAAAATGAGAAAGACCCGACTCCTAGAAATATACCAAAATTCGACAACCGTACCCAAGTCCAAGCATCGTAGATAAGAACCTACCGTCTAACCCCGAGCTGAAAGGAGCATTTGGTCCCTAGAGCACCAAGGTACTGTATCATTAGAGGAGTTTTGTTTTGTAGATGTTTTTCACTCCCCTACCCGAGATGTCTTAGACCTTCCAAGTCTCTTTAAGCCTTGACTGAAGTTCACGAAGGCATAAGTGGGAATCATCAAGAAGCCCGAGCCCTTGCCTACAAACTCATAAGGTATGAGTATTACTGGCCAAGATGCAGCAGATTGTGTTCGGAGGTGCGACAAGTGCCAGAAGTTCGACAATGTCATACGTGCACCCACTGAAGAGCTAACTTTAATCCATTATTCAGCTCCTTTTGAGCAATGGGGAGTTGATATCCTTGGACCCTTTCCCTTGACCAAAGGACAATTGAAGTTTTTGGCGGTAGCAGTGGAATATTTTACAAAGTGGGTAGAAGCAAAATCCTTAGCAACAATCTCGAAGTCCAAACTCAAATCATTTGTATGGAAGCCCATTATATGAAGGTTCGGGGTGCAAAAGGTGCTCATAACAGATAATGGAAGGCAGCTTAACAAATTTTTGTCAACTTTGGGATTGAACACCATCTGACCCCGATGTCACACCCTCAGAGCAATGGCCTCGCTGAAGTAACTAATCGGATCATACTTTGCAAGATTTTCAAAGGAGGATTGGGGCATACAAGACTTCACATAAAACAACAACCAGCGAGACCTTTCATGTTAGCCTTTGGCTTAGAGGCTAAGATCCCAATTGAAGTCAAACTTCCTACATTGAGGAGGCTCAAGACAGACCTGGAAGAGAGAGCAATCGAACACCTCTTCACTTAAAGCTGTAAGTTATCAAAACAAAACAGCTAGATACTTCAATAGGATGGTCAAGCCAAGGAGGTTCAGAGTTGGGGATTTGGTCATTAAAAGAGCAGAAGCAGCTGGTTGTCCTACAGGTAACCTTGGACCAGCATAGGAAGGGCTTTTTGAAGTCAAACGAAGGTAAAAGGGCGGAGCTTACAGCCTCAAAGACACCTCGGGAAAGCCACACCCAAGACCTTGGAACGCCGACAACCTGAAGACTTATTACAAATAGTTGGCCATAGCTATAGCATTTTTCTTGTTTTTTGAGCTTGCATGCTCACTGGAAGTTTATTTTCTCTTTTTGCTTTTCGGGCTTGCATGCCTCGACAATTTTCATGTTTAGAAGCTCGGGCCTGGACACCCTTGAGCACTTTACTATGATAAGAGTTTTCTTTTGCATTATTGTCTCTCCCTGTAACTCAATATTAGCATAAGACCGTGTCCCGTGCATGCAGCTAATACTTCAAGTTAGCATAAGACAGTACTCTCGCGTGCAAGCAGCTAACACTTTAAAATTAGCATAATACTGTGCCCCATGCGTACAGCTAACACTAAAATTAGCATAAGGCTGTGCTCCACACATTTAACTAAAGGTTACATGATTGACCACAGAGACCCATTAGGTCGGGCTTACACCCGTACGTCGATGACCCAGATTTATCATAACATTAAGGAATACGAAGCTTGAGCTCGGTCATATTTTGTCGACATCCCTTGACAATACCTGCTCAAACTACGCACTGAAAAATTCAATTAATACACAAGCTAAACACGTAAAAGCTCTTACATCATAGTCAAAGAGACGACGAACCAAAAATGCACAAACTCTACTTGATAAATATTTTACAAAACACGATCTTTATGCTTGCTTGAGATATACCTTTAATGTCAAAAATTGTCTGAGCTAGGACCCATAAAATCCATAGCTCGCATCACACAATGCTAACACTTGAGCTGGGATCATAATACATTGCTACTTTACACGATATATATATCTCGACCTTAATACATGCACAAAACAACACATGAGCAAAACAGATAAAAAAACATGCGTAGAAGACAAGGCATGAGCAAATATTTGATAAACGCAAAACATCAAGCTAGTAATAGCATTTCCAAAAGGTAAAAGCCCAGGTCGGGCAATGTACTTTAAAAAATTTTCAAAAATTAGTAAGCAAAAGTTCAAGGGATAAGACCTAATCGAGGTCAATGGCATTGGCGGCATCACTCTAATCAAGGGTCCCAACATCATCTCCGTCATCATTGTCTTCATCGACCTCCGATGCAGAGAGCTCAAGATAATTGGCAAGCTCTAAACGTTCTCAATCCCTCTAACATAGGGTTCAAATCATCGAGGAGCTTCATCCGCAAAAATAATCGAGCAAGCCTCAAGCCGTAGTGATATGAGCTCGACCCATACTGCCCTAGGAGGGTCCCGAACTCCTCCGACTTCTTGAAGTCCTCAATAGCCTGAGCTAGAGCCCTGGCCAGTTCAACCTCAAAGCCCTTTCTGGCTTGTACGAGCTCGAGCTTAGCTTCTTCGGCCTTATCCTTAGCCACCCCGATCTCATCTCAGGTCCTCCTCAAATATGCCCTAGCATCATCTCGCTCTCTCTCGAGCTCGAAAACCCTTTTCCTCGCCCACTCATTCTTGGCCTCGAGCTCCTCTAACTTGCTCGAGATGTTCAATGTCAGGCCTCAAGCTAACTTAAAGACTGCAAAGTAAATATTATACCCGATGTCAGAACAATCCAAAAAGAATAGAAAAATAGGAAAGCAGCGTTAACATCAAGATCATACCTTCAGAGCGAGTAGCTCGAGGGTTTGGACCCTTTCATGAAGGTTAACCTCCTTCTCATACTTGTCCACAATGCTCTCTGGATCAACGAGCATTCAGCATACTCCTCGAACGACCTGGTGGGCATGGGGACGTGATCCTGATCCACAATGTTTGAGCCAGCCTGAGGAGTCGAATCCTAAGCTTGCAGCTTGGGGATGGGCTACGATGGCGAGGTAGGGCTCTTTGATGTCTGTCCTAAACCACTCGGGATTTGTCTTGGTGTGACCTCCCTAGCCCTTTTCTTTCCCTTGAACGGGATAGGGACCTTAGGCTTTAGGCCTTTGGCCTTATTGCAGACGTTCGCGAGGAGTTTGATAGATCAGAAGACATCTCCAAATCTACAAAAAATAAAAACACAAGGCATTAGCTCGATCTAGAGTTCAAGAATGGTAAGAGAAAAGCATAAAGGGGTGAAGATCATACACTCAAGGCCTCTCACGTTCGCAAGGTCGAGGGTATCATCCTCGAGCAGGTCATCAATCTTTTCCGTTGGGGAGTCACTAACCTTAACCTATCCATCTCTAAAACCTCGAAGTAGGCCTGGCCCTCGTTGAACCTATCCTTATTAGGGATTTCCCACTTCGGGCTAAATGGATGGTCAGGGTCTTGAGATTTCACAAAGAAGAATCGTTATTTCCAATCCATAAGTGAGCTCAGGGTATCTAGTGTCCTAAAACCCTCTTCGTCGATAAATAAACAAAACAGTTATACCTCGAGGAGAATTTCATATCACATTCTTAAGAGATCGAGTCAAGGCTCGACCTCGAGACATCTACATAAAATGAAAAAGTAGACCAGTAGCCTCCATCCATTAAGGGCCAACTGGCCCGCCTGAACACAAATAATACGAGGTCAGGAAATGAATAAAGAAAGGGTAAAGAAGCCACCTAAGTCCGGCTTTAAGAATATCTCTAAAACATGTCATCTCACCCTCTTAAGCTCCTAGCACGGTCTCAATGGACTCAGAGGGCATGACCCCGAACTCCCTAGCAGTCTTGATAATCACATGTTCCTTACACTTCCGAGGGTTCTTGTGGGTAGGTCAGCACCGCCTCACTCTCGAGGTGTGAACGGACGGGGATGTCCATGGGAATAAGGGACGTGCCCAAGTTCTCAATCAATCTCAATCATAAAGCTCGGGAAATAACATGTGCGATTTTTGGTAGCATCAATATTAATTACACAAGCAATCATTAAAATGTAATACAAAACATATAGATACTGATGCATATGCATATTTGTGTAGGTATAGAGCAGAGAGGGAGAAATATGGAGAGGTTCACTCAGTTCAGCAAAGTAGTCAAAATGGAAATAATCTCAAGAGAGATAGACATGCAATCCGGTTCATTGAGCTTGAAATTCAGAAGTATTCACAGAAATTCTCCCTTCTATTTCTACAACTAAATTTCCCAAAATAAAGAACCCTAATTTATGAAATCGTGACATCTGTAGCACTGACCATTTTCAATATTCAAATTCTGACAAACAAATGCAGTATGAAGGGATAAAAACAAATTTATTTTCGAAGAGTACCTTCCAAATGGACGATTTCTTGAATGAACTAACGATATAAATATCCATGGCATAACCAATTTTTTGTTATCAAATAAAGTACCTTTTCTTTCTCTTGTTTTGAATCACCACTTAATTTTCCTTTTCTTCCCCCACTCACCATGTCTCTCTTAATCGGAACTAAAAAAAGTTCGAAACAGGGAAAAAAAAATCCGGAGATAGGTACCCGGTGACTCCCAGTAAATGGGATAGAAAATAGAACATTTAAACAACTACGAAAATGTTGAAAAATAAATCTAACAATAATGAAAAGGATATATGAACTTTTCCTGAAATATAAATTGTCACTGAACGGAATTGCAACACAAGTACACCTAGAAACCAGTTAATTATAGGCATCAAAACTTATAACCAAATTCCATCATAATATAAACAAAAGAATACCTTTTTCAAGATTCTTCACGTTTTTTGGAAGAGAGCGTGATACGGATCTTGTGAATCTGCTCTTGTGGCTCCTCCAGCCCCGGTTTCGTCGGCTTCATCGCTGCGTACGCCATCCTTTTCCTTCTCTTTTTTTCTCAAAACACAGAAAACCCGAGCAAAAAATAGAGTCTTATGACTAATTATAAGTAAATTCAAGACATTGTTCAAAACCGTTGCTGTTTTTGTTACATCCAGAAGAGTGGCTGATATAATTACCGGCGGAGGAGAGAAATAATAGCGCCGCGGCGGAGCTGAAGAAAAGGTTTGCCCTTCGTCAATTTCGTAAATCGAGTTTTTGAATATCGCTAGATTTCCGTTTTCTTTCTGTAGTCCAGTTTTTCATTGGGCTTAGACTAAAAATGATCTGGGCTTGGGCCTTTCACCGTTTCTATATGAATACACAGAACTGACTTAAATAGCACTTTTGAAGGAATGTATTTTCCTTTATGTACATCATGGTCATGAAACTCAAACCTTAATCAAGTAACAATTTTATACATTTCCAGTACTTGTGTTTTTTGCAACTCAACCTCTAGAATAGAAATTGTAAATCTTTAAATCCATTAAAAACCAATGTGAGGCATAAGGACGAAGTAAGAAAAGATGAGTGAGTAAGTATAATAATTCCTAGTATGATTTGGTTACTTTTAAAGATTTTGCTATAGCAACAGGAGAGTTGTCAGCCCTTGACCGAACCCCATCCATGGGGGGTCCCACACAACAACAAAAATGGGACCCTCCACTTATGGTGGGGTTCAATTTTGGGGGGCTGTTAGCCCCCCTGTTAATGTAATAAAATTCTATTTTCAATCGCACATTTTATAAAACTCGTGATTTTATCAATTTTTCAATTACATATTTCATCCACTTTTACCAAAATTTATTAAAAATCTGGTTTAGCAAAACCAAACATGAGCTAAATTGTTTCATTTTGTTGGAGTTTTTATCCAACAGCAAAAGAAAGATAACACGTGCTATTTTGTGAGGTATAGATTATTGAATTTTTTAAAATTGGACCGATGACTATGACTCATCAAGTTTGTACTTTGCAGTGAGTTGGAGTTCACATTTTTCCTTTGTTAAAAGACTTATTGAGATGGTTTGATTCATTTTGTCCACTTCTTAAAATTCTTATTGACGGCGGATCAAACAATATAATACTAGGGGAGGCAAAAGGTGCGTTACAAAGCTATGAAAACGTATGAGTTTGCATTTATCAAGATCCTGTTTGGGAATTATTTTGAGAATTGATTTTTTGACTGTTAGGAGAAAAGTAGAATCCACCTATGAGAGAAAAAAGTCAAATATGACAGCTGAAATAGTGAAGTAACAGTCACTCCCAAATAGGTTGCAAGTGTTGGAAAAACATGATTTGTTATTTCAAACACTGCAAATGAAAAATCAAGACATTTTGAATGCAATGAATTCAGTCTCATCTACAAAGATCCTTCTTCAAGAGACACGAGATGATCGCTGGGAAGGTATTATTTGGAATGTAGTTCACATTTGTAGTAGTAAATAATAATAATAATGTGCACGAGTTAGATAATCATTAAAATAAAATGAAGAATGATAACAATCTCAATGTCTAATGTTTTAATCAAGCTTCATGCATTTAAGTAATGTAGTACCCGTGTTGTTATTTGTAGGTCCTCTTTATTTCATTCAATTATTCATTTCTATAATTCGTGAATCGCGGTGTCACGCTATTGTGCCGCATTCAATGGTTGAACAAATTGTATAAATACCAGGGGCAATGCTATGCCCAAACTATGAAAAAACTAGATCAAGAAACAGAAAGCATTGATCTTCAGGTTTGTGTACAGTTCAACTATACACAGGTCAACTTCTAAATCCTAAATGTTGATGGATTTAAATTTGCCCAAACGAAACACAATGCCCGTTCAAACTGCCGAGACATGCAAAAACTACAAGACAGCTGAAAATACACTTCGCAATGCCAAATTAAAGCCTACTCTAAAAGAAGAAAATCGGGGTTCTTGCTTCATGAGAATGCTTGCACAGCCAGGATTTCCAAGTGATCTGAAAGAAAAGACCAGTTTACAAAAAGCATTCAACCATTTCATAAAGAGGCCTAACTGAATTTCAATCATTAAGTGCATATTTGGTATGGACTGCACAGTGTAGTGAATCATATTTTTCTTACTTGATACTGTACAGTGCAATCCTCCATGCCAAACATGCTTGCCAAAAGGATGGTGATAATACGCAAATTGAACTTCTATTTTGCAAGCTAGAAGACACGAATAACCAATTACAGATTCCTTGTAAATCTAGAATATTTCCATTTCAAGTTTTTCAAGTAGGTTAGAAAAATCTCAAAAATCCTGCTACAGGGTCTTCCAATATTAATCTAGATGAGACAGTAGGGACCAAGAATCCATTTGAACCAGACAAAACTGGATTAGCACCGTATACCCAATTTTTCCATAGAATTTAGGTTAGTAGGTTACATTTTGGAGTAAGGCGGGAAGGCCAGGCAAATGAAGGACATTTGTATCAAAAGGTCACTGCCTCCAAGAAGGCATTTTGAACAACTGAACCAAAGAGACACTTGGCAGCAAGCAAAATCTCATCGTCTATTACATTATGAACCATGTAATGCAATAGACAACACATGCTTGAGTTGCACTTTAGCAGTAAACATCAACCATCCTCTGTGACGAAATATTCTACATGTTAGTAACATGACTGTCGTATCTTGTTGCTACATTTTAAAATGGGCAAAAGAAAAAACATAGAGATAACTTCTGATGGTCGCTTCACTTTTTGGAGGTCAATATTCGTTTTGGATGGGAAAAAGATCACAACACTAAAGTCAAAATGATTATTTGCAACAAGAGATGATTTCAATATCTCTATTTCTTTCCCCTTAAGCTACATGTAAAAGCTATAGCAATATGTTGTTCTCTTAACGTCCAAATGCAACACACACTTGCACTGGTTTTAAGGAGAACATTATTATAGCTTCACATAACATAGTCACATGATTGAGTAAAAGATCACGCAACATATACAGTGTGAAGCCACGGGTTCTACGTGTAGCTTCATAAAAAAAAAAATTTAAAGTAAAATTGAGAATTATAAATAACGAAATGCCAGATAAGAAAAATTTGAGATTGTCCTGCCAAGATACCAGTTGGCTGCTTCAGGACTGAAAAACTTATTAAATAGGTATTTTGAAATAAAATAAGGGTAGAGGAAAATCCTCAGTTTGAATCTAGGAAGCACCGACACGCTCCCGGCAACGACGTACCGGTGTCCGATCGCGTCCGACACGTCGCCGACGCGTGTCGGAGTCACGGAGCCGTGTGGCTTTGGTGGGCTGAAAAAAAGAAACCAGTGGAAAGAAAGAAGAAAAAAGAGAAGAAGAAGAAGAAGAAGAAGAAGAGGAAGAGGAAGAAGAAGAACCTGTTACCTGTTGATTGTCAGGCATAGACAGAAAGAAAGAGAGAAGAGACGGCTGAAATGAAATGAAAAGTCATGATTTATCAAAGCAAATTTCAATTTGTGGGCCCACCACTGTAAATTTTCTCCTTTTGTACACGTTTTGTATCTTTTCAATGGATGTAATCCTTTATAAAATAATGTACAATACTTTATTTGATCAATTTGTACCATTTTACCCTTCAACAACAAATCAAACTTATATAACAACACAAACATTTTCTTCCTCAGTCAGTAACTTGCGAAAATTTCAGAACATCCAAGTATTTTTTTTGTTATTTCATCTTTTTCAAAAATTTCATCAATCCACATTTGAAGAATCATTTGCAAGATAAAGAAGAAGATATTTTTTCAAGTTTCGGGTAATATCACTCCTATTTTACTTAAGTATTTGAAATTATTTTTCTTTTGAAGTTATGAGTGATAATGCTATGGATGATGATTTGTCTAAACCTCTTTGGAAATATGTTACAAAACTTGATAAATTTAATGAAAAGGGTGGTAACATTATTTGGCAATGTAATTTTTGTAATGCAACTAAGACAAGTTCTTACACAAGAGTGAAGGCACATTTGTTAAAATTACAAGGCTATGGAATTGAGGCTTGTGTAAAAGTAACTATGAAAGATATATGTGAAATGCAAAAAATGGAAGATGAAGCCAAGTTGAGAATGCAAACTAAGGCGGGGAAAAGAGTGCCATTGCCATCGAATAATATGGGTTCTAAGGATTGTTATGTTTTGGAGGAAAGGAAAAGAAAGAATAGTGCAATAGAAAATGCTTTTAATGTGACAACACGTGACCAATTGGATTCCGAAATTGCTAAAATGTTTTATTCAAGTGGTTTGCCTTTTACTCTTGCAAGAAATCCTTATTACATTAGTTCTTATACTCTTGCTTCCAATAGTCGAATTTCGGGATATTTGCCTCCCGGTTACAACAAGTTGAGAACTACTCTTCTTCAAAAAGAGAAAAAAAATGTGGAAAGATTATTAAATCCAATTAAAGGCACATGGGCGGAAAAAGGAGTTACCATTGTGAGTGATGGATGGAGTGATCCACAAAGAAGGCCACTAATTAATTTTATGGCGGTGACCGAGAGTGGACCAATGTTTTTAAAAGCGGTTGATTGTTTCGGTGAAACAAAAGATAAATATTTTATTGCTTACTTGATGAAGGAGGTTATAAATGAAATTGGTCATCAAAAGGTGGTTCAAGTAATAACCGATAATGCTCCAAATTGCAAAGGTGCCGGACAAATAATTGAATTGGAGTATCCTCATATTTTTTGGACACCATGTGTTGTACACACACTAAATCTTGCTTTGAAGAACATTTGTGCCGCAAAGAATGTTGAAAATAATTTGATTACATATGAGGAATGCAATTGGATTACTAATCTTCATGATGATGTAATGATTATAAAAAATTTTATCATGAACCATTCCATGAGACTAGAATGTTTAATGAATTTGTGCCTTTGAAGTTGCTTTCCGTAGCAGAGACACGATTTGCTTCTATTATTGTCATGTTAAAAAGATTTAAGCTTATTCGATGTGGTCTTCAAGCTTTGGTTATTAGTGAAAAATGGTCACTTTATCGAGAAGATGACATGAAGAAGGCAAGGTTTGTAAAATTGAAAGTGTTTGATGATCTTTGGTGGGACTCTATAAGTTATGTTCTTTCCTTCACTTCTCCCATTTATGACATGCTTAGATTTTGTGATATGGATAAACCTTGCCTTCACTTGGTTTACGACATGTGGGATACAATCATTGAGAAAGTGAGAGGAATAATTTATAGGAATGAGAAAAAAGTTCAACAAGAGGAATCATCATTCTACAATGTTGTTCATCGGATACTTGTAGATCGTTGGAACAAAAATAACACTCCACTTCATTGTTTGTCTCATTCCCTAAATCCAAGGTAATTTTTAAATTTAATTCATACATTTAATGTTTATTTACATTATCATAATATTTAATATGTTTAGTTAGTTATTGAATGAATTGTCATTTTTTTATTTTTTTCCTCTTGTTTAGGTACTATAGCGAGGAATGGCTTAATGAGGATCCCACTCGACTTGCTCCACATAGAAATGTAGAGATTTCAAGAGAAAGAATAAAATGTTTTAAGAGGTACTTGTCAAATGAAGAGCGTATTATGGTGAATAAGGAGTATGCCAAATTCTCAACTATGGAAGATGACTTTGGTGATTTTGAATCCATCCATGATCGTTACCGCTTGGACCCAAAGACTTGGTGGGTTATTTATGGTGCTTGCACACCTATGCTTCAAAGTTATGCTTTGAGATTATTGGGGCAACCATCTTCTTCATCGTGTTGTGAGCGAAATTGGAGTACTTATTCCTTTTTGCACTCTCTTAAACGGAATAAGCTAACTCCAAAACGTGCGGAAGATTTGGTTTTTGTCCATAGCAATCTTCGTCTCTTGTCAAGGAGGAGTGCGCAATACTCACAAGGAGAGACTAAAATGTGGGATATCGGTGGAGATGCATTTGATACATTTGAAGATATTGGTGTGCTTGAAGTCGCTAATTTATCTCTCGACGAACCGGAATTGGAGGCGATGGTATTTGCTGATGGAGATGAAGATTTTGAAGAGATTCAAGATGAATGATGTAATTAATTTCATTTTTACTTTTTGAACTTATGTCATTAAGAAACATTGATGAATTTAATGTCAAGTTTGATTTCTATTTATCATTATATATTGCGGTGTCCGTGTCGGTGCTTCTTAGGTTTGAATCTTCTCAAGGAGAGAAAAGAAAGGAAGTACAAGAATGAAATGCATTCCCCCACAATCACACTGCTCCTTCCTTAAGTTAGAAAAGTATAAGGGGGAATACGAAGGAATAAGAAAAAAAGATAATGTTAAAATAATTTTCTCCTTTTCCGTACAGGTGCTGCCAAGTGCAGTCTTCCTGCCTGTTAATCTGAAAAAGAAAATGAGGTTCCTTTTTCTTGATTCTCAGCTCTCTCTTTATGCCTGTGTACGTTGATAAAGAAGGATAATGATTTGTTTCCACTTCTCCTATTCAGATATACATCTTAAAATTTTGAAAGATCACTCTCACAACCCCCCTCTCCGCAATGAGAATAATTGGAGCCAACAGAAAATAGGCTAAGCACAGGACAGCTTGGATGTAGATCAGTACATCTACCTTTGTGGATTTGTAAAACCTTTGCCCTTTGTGGACATGATGCATCTGCAAATTCATCCGTTACAACTCGCTATTTGTACACTGCAAGAAGGCCAATCCTTGGACTCCCGAGAGCAATAAGCATTTCTTCTTCTGTTTCCTATTAGTCATGTACCAAAAGCATCGATTTTGTTCCATTATTATCCCCCATTTATAACTCAATTACTCGTTTTCCGAAGGTAAACTTGCATCCAATCTCATATGTCAGTAATTCTCCACAATTATTACTTTGTCGTAACCAGTAATTTCTTCTATAGATCCCAGTTAATAAATTCACTATATTTGCCCCATTGTAAGAACTAATAAAACACAAAAGCTAACAACAAATTCCTAAATACAATAATTGATAGCTAAAACACGCACCAAAAAAAAGGAAAAAAATTGCAGAAACCATAAAGATAGCATTTAAATTAAACTTTCCCAAGTGCAAGAACTTACCATTTCACTTGGCGACCATGCGAGCAACGAAGTCCTCGTACCGGATCTTGCCATCAGAACCAACATCCACCTCGCGGATCCACTCATCGAACTCCGCGGGCTCCAATTTCTCCCCAATACTAGTTAAAATATGTCTGAGATCCGAAACGACAACGTAGCCGGTCCCATCCTTGTCCAGCACCTTGAACGCTTCACGGAGCTGGCGGTCGAAAGGCTCCAGCTTCAAGTGCTTGGACATTAGGTCAAGGAATCGCGGAAAATCGAATGGTGAATTAAGTTTTTCCTCGTCGATTATGGATTTGAGTTGAGTCTGGGTCGGATTGCTACCGAGTGAACGCATTAGGATCCCGAGCTCCGTCGGAGCAATCTTGCCGTCGCCGTCAGTATCAAAAAGCGTGAAGGCCTCTTTCACTGATGACATCTGCTCGTCGCTCAGATCTTTCCCCATCTTCCTCTCTCTCTCTCTCTCTCTCTCTCTCTCTCTCTCTCCTTCCTAGTTTTGAATCTGTGAAAGGGAAATGATTTGGCTCTGCGAATGTAGCCCTCGTTTGACCACAATTATTTCCATTACATTAAATTAAATTTTTCTATCCCCTACTTTTAACCACACAATTTTCAATAAAATAATATTACACGTAAATCAAAAATTTTTCAACCACTCATTTTTCAAAAAAAATACTATTCATCTCATTATAATTTACAAATAATGGGGCTCAAACGAGAGCGTAGTTTCGTTTGAACTTGAAGGGTTGGCCCTGTTTGACCCCCCCTCCATTTGAGGAAAATTACAGTCAAGGTACCAAACCTTTTGCTTGTTAGTAGATTTAACCCTGACCTTTCATTTGTGTCACAAGAGGCACCAATTTTTTAAAAATTTGCAAGTCCAATCCAAAATGACGGCTTCCATCAATTTGATCATCAAAACTGTTAGTTAACCCCAGTAATGATATTTTTAAGAATTTTCCCCCAAATAAGTGAAATGTTTCATCGTTTATGAACTCGCATATGTTGCTGCCAATTGCAGGTAGAAAATATAGATTCAATTTTGGTGTATAATAAATACGATTGTCGACTTCTTTAACTAGGAAGGGATTCTATGGAAATGATGAAGAAAGTTTTGTTAATTTTCGAAGTAAATCTTGAAGGAAAAAGGAAAGTTCGTATTTTTGAGCGGGTGAGAAGGAGGTAGAGTCAAGATTAAATTTTAATGATACTACTGTTTTTATTTTTTGTTTTCTTGGCTTAATGAAAAATATAAAGTAAAAGGGGAGCTTGAATCTATACTATTTATATCAATTGCTTGATTGAGAAAGGAAGAATCCCACTTTTACATGACTCTAATTTTTTGTTTATGAGCTTGATACTAGATCGCAAATAATATTTGAAAAATTTTCCCCAGACTCAGGGAATGTATTAAGAAAGATCTGATACGATTTTTGCTCTTTAGGTTCAAATTACGAGTAGAACACTAAGTTCAGAATTTACGAATACGATAATGGGAAGGACAATGTGTAATGTCGAGATTGCTCTTCACTTATTTGGAGGAAATTCTTAAAAATATCATTACTGTGGTCAACGATCGGTTTTGGTGGTCAAACAGACGGAAGCCATCTTTTTGGACTGGACCTGCGAATTTTTTAAAAGTTTGGTACCTTCAATGACACAAAAGAAATATTTGGGTCAAATTTGCCAATAAACGAAATGTTTGGTACCTCGACTGCAAATTTTCCTTGATTTGAGTGTTATGGAATAGTGATTGATGGGAAATGTGTAGTTAAAAAATAAGAAATTTTTTTTTTTATTTGCATGTAGTATTATTTTATAAAGAATGTGTGGTTAAAAATAAATACTGCAGAAAAAATAATGGGAAAGAATGGAAAGTAAAGGATGACAGAGGCTAATAAAGTAAAGTTTGAGGGATTCTCAAGAAATATTATTTTACTTTACATTGTTATATATATTTTTTATAAGTGAGTAATATTATTCATAGTCGCTCACTACGATAATCGCCTAACGTACATTCTACGTGATGGTTCGTAAATTTGATATATTAGCCCTCGTTTGGCCGCCATTTTTTTTTCAAATTTTAATGATTGGAATAATTTTTTTATAGAATGTATGGTTGAAAAAAGAATGAAAAATTTTCAATTTACATATAATATTATTTTATGAAATATTGTATAGTTGAAAATAAGAGAACGAAAAAATGAAAGAGAATGGAGGCCAAACGGAGACTTAATGTGGTAGTTTTTTCTTGCCTCATATATTAAATCACTAACTATCACATGTATGCCACGTAGGGCGACTGCGACAGTGAGTGACTCCAAATAGCATTGTTCTTTATAAGTTAAAAGATCCGTAGCAGTTGAGCCCATTGAACGGAACGAGACCTAAAGAAAAGTGGCCAAGGGCAGAGCCCAAGTATGTCCAGTGCGGCCACATGCCCGCATTGGACTTTTTGGCCCAAATTATTTTTTTCCTTGTTTAACTCACTTCCATGTCCAACCCAGAGAGACAAGCCCAATTAGATCCATTCCTCTCAAAATTCAATTGAATCAATTGACCCATACACATTCATTCATTTCAACCCTTTGTCTATGAGACGACTTCGTCCCTTTGCGGCTTTACACAGCATAATCGCACTTTGCCACTTCCCTTTCAACCAGTGATCGATCCCTGCTCGTCATTCCCTTTCCCTCTCCGTCGTCTCCGACAGTAGTCACAGTTTCCTTTCCCTCTCTGACAGTCCATTAGTACATCTCCCAATCTAAGCTCTCATCTTGACATCTCCAACTCTGACTCTACATCCTCAGCTCCATCGACCGCTCATTAACCTTCGAGTCTCGAGACGAGACAAACACCAAGGCACCAATCGGCTGCAGCCAAGCACCAGCAAAAGAAGAAGCCAAACAGCTAAAGGCAGAGTCGTAGAAGGTGAAGCACTGAAGCCCCAATTTTTTTCCCTTATTTTTTGTTATTTCAATTTATGTAAATTGTAATAATGTATATATATATATGTATAGATATATAACAAAAGCGGCACAAACTTCCAGCGGACCACCAGTTCATTGTTGCCTCTGGGCTCTGGCTCTCTGCAAATCTGCGATTGCAAGTTCACCTTGCTTGGAATTTGGAAATGGTATATATTAAAATTGTGAATCAATTATGTGAAATTGTGAATTGGAGTATTTAAACTGTGAATTGATTATGTGGAATTGTGAATTGCACTGGACTAATAGTGCATATAGGTATTGGCGTATTACACTATGAATTGATTATGTAAAATTTGTGAAATGCATTGTGAATTGATTACGTGAAATTGTGAATTGCACTGAATTTTGTGAGTTGCTTCTAGTATCTATGATTCTTTTGTCATTTTAAATTACTCCCACTCCTAGTAGTAATTGGATATCAAATGTTTAAATCTATATTTCAAATGAAGAGATACAAAAGGGAATGTAGATAACGTCGATGGGGGATATCGAATAATGTGGAATTTGATGTCACAAACCTTTCGAGTGATCCTGGACTAAGGATACCAATTTTGAATTACAATGCTAACATCTAAGATCAAGTTTGAAGAGCATATATGTTAAAGGGTCCTTGTCAAACCCAAGATCACGACTTTCCAAAATGACAATTTAGAGTAACAACTAGACGATTCAAACCTTCTTGGTTTAAAGACTTCGGTCCTTGGTTGGAGTAAAGTGTAGAAAAAGATGCTGCTTATTGTTTGTATTGTTACCTTTTCAGAACAAGTTCTAGAAAGTAGAAAGTAAGGTGGATGTGAGTCTTTTGTTGGGGAAGGTTTTACATATTGGAAAGATAAAAAAAGGGCTTCATACTCATATTGGACTTTATGATAGTGCACATAATCAATCTCGCATTAAGTGTGAATCTTTGATGAATCAAGAGCAACACATTCAATCAAATTTCTATAAACGGCCACAACAAGTAAGAAGTGCATATGTTACCTGTTACGCCTATAAATTACTACTTCATATTGGGCCCCAAAGTCGAGGCTCTGACGAGGCCAGTCGAGGTGCCATCGAGGCCGGAGTTCAGTCGAGGCGCTCGTCGAAGTGCCTATTATTATGTCCATATGATCACCTCCTTATTGGGCTTGGACTTTGGCCCACCAACCCGTTTGGCCCATTTCACTTCCATTTCTCTATATATATGGATTCACTCACACAACTAAGGTATGTTCTACACTCTCTAGCCAAACCCCCATCTTCATACTATTGCACTCTATATATTTATCTTCGTCCGATCGTTGACTGGACCGTCGGAGTACAAACGGTCGTCTAACATTTTTCTCGTTCCGTCGCCTTTGCTTCTTGACGGGGTGTTACTTGCCCAGATTTCGAGGGGACGAGGCTAGGGAACCTGTTGGAGCCATCTCTGGAGGTTAACAGATTGGCGCCGTCTGTGAAAAACAGTACGTTAACCATGTTATACGACACCAGAAAAATATGGTTTTCCAGGCAATTTCTTCTGCCAAAAGAAAGCAGGATCAATCGTAGAAAATGAAAGAAAAGTGCTATTGGAATTAGCTTTCATACTGAATAATCAGCTGCCATAAGGATAAACAGACGGAGAAAAGAATGGTCAGTAAGCTAAAACAATATTTTCTTGCATCTTGAATCTTTAGCGCTACGGCCATTATTGTAAAATAGACATTCAAGTTGGGGCAAAGTGGAATACTGTGGTGACCAAGAATGATTAAGGATAATGTAACTTTCACAATAAAATCTCTTCCCCACCACATACAGTTACAAAAACTAAACATTCTTAAAAACCCACCTTGTTGCTGTACAAATTATTCAACAGATTCTATCATCAAAATTCCGAAATTCAACAGGATTTTCCTTATTTCAACATGAAGACTCATTTTGTTAAGAGCTTTCAATGTATAATATGGTAGATGAGAACTCTTCGGCCATGATATAGCTTCAAGGTGCTATCAACGAAATCACCTACAACTTTCGTTTATGATCGTCGAGGCAACGACAACAACGACTGCCCATGTGAGCAACTGTCCCAAGTAATCCTCTTGGTGAATGAAAAACACGAGGCGCACCGTGTGCTAGGCAAACTGGCTCAATCAGATTTTGTCTCTTTCTCCGGCTACCACCGTCTATACAACTTGGAGCACCGACAGCTACAATGCCGTGATTTTGTGGTAAGCAGATACGAGGGAAAAGATATATTGACATTGTGCCTTGTGCTAATTAATTTTTGGAAAAACGTATATGTCATATCATACAACTTGCTGATTTTTGTGGTTCAATTGGTCATGTTGGTGTCAGACTTTCTTACCACTAAAGACAACTAGAAATGCATTTATTGGGAACAATCTGAACGTAGAGTCAAAACGGGCCGCTTGAAGAAATATGGGCTAATATTTTGTCCAATTAAATATTTCATTTTACTCTGGGGACTAGAGACTTATTCCTTTTGGGCCATATTTTCTTAGTCATTTGGTCTTTCTAGTCTATCGAAGAGACATACATTA